CACACACACACACACACACACACACACACACACACACACACAAATTCAAATCACAATGTAATACTCCCAACAAATCCATGAGAAAGACTAAAAGGAAAAGAGCTAAAATCATCAAGTGTGTGTAAGGATGGAGAATAGTGAAAACGGTCACATGCTGCTGAGCAGAGTAGAAATTGGTACAGCCACTTCGCACCGTAGAGCAATAACAACTGAAGATGAACAAGAGCATATCCATTCGCCAGTAAACCCACTCCTAGCTATATACCGAACATCAGTGCATGCAGACACATACCAAAATTCATACACAAGCATGCCCATAATAACATCATTATTTAGAGTAGTCCCAAACGGGAAACAATACGTAGCCCATCATCAGCACAACGGATTGAAAAAATGCTGCCTGCACAGGATGGAATACCGCCTAGCAGGGTTCAGCAAACTCTTTCTGGAAAAGGCCCAATAGCACATATTTTAGGCTTGGAGTACCATCTGGTCCATGTCACAACCACTCGGCTCTGCTGTTGTGGGTGAAAGCAGCCGGCGTAATATGTACACAAAGGAACCCATGAGCAGGGCTGCGTTCCAAGAACACTTCACCGGCCAACCTCTGTCACATAGCAATGGAAATGAATGAAGTGCTGCTCCGTTAAAGAACAGGGATGAAGGGCCGGCCGCGTGGCTCAGTTGGTTAAGAGTTTGCTCAAGAGGGTGAGTTCTGAGCAACAGGATAGCCAGTTCGATTCCTGGCCTGAGCTGAGCTGCCAACAGGTGGCAGGATGGCTTAGCTAAAAAAAAAAAAAAAAAAAAAAGAACAGGGCTGAAGCTCAGAAAATGTGGAGCAAAAGAAGGCAGACACAAAAGAATGTATTCTATAGGATGGAGGGGCAGACTGGGAATGGGAGGGTTGTCGGTAATATTCTATTGAATAACCTAGGTGGCAGCTATAATAGAAGTGCTCATTTTGTCTTCATTCCCTGAGCTATGCAACTATGGCTTATGCACATATAGACACATAACATAGATGTCAATAAAGAATTTTATTAAATCGATAAGTATTGGGGAGCACCACAAGAGAACGGGAGGATAACCTAGAAATGCTTTGCTTTGAAGAAAGCAATGAAGACAGCCAGGTAATCCTGGAGAATGTATTTTTTTCATGATATATTTGGAGTTTTTATTTTGTGCACAGGCTACTTGGCAACATTGGGTGGCCATTTACTGCTCAAAGACGAACTTCAAGTCATGTCTAAGGGTAAGTGTTGACGTTGTAATGAACTCTTTTTGCTTAGGTCTAAATAGATTCACTGTTTGTGATTCTAGTCCCATGAGTCCTATAATGGTTCTGGGGGTGGGAGGAGGGTGGTGGTTAGTGGGGAATCAATGGAAGTACTGGGTTAAGGGACATCTTTTTCTGTCCCTCCCTCCCTCTCTCCCCCTCCTCCTCCTCTCTCTCTCTCTCTGAGGCTTATCATCCTAGAGCCCATTACGAACTACAGAGAGTTGAGGACTCATTCACTCATTCAACAAATATTTTTCTAGCATCTGCTATAATATGTGACAGCACTATTCTAGCTGCTGGGGATACAGCAGCAAACAAAACAAAAACACAGTCCGTTCCTTCAGAGAATTTACATTTTAGGAGATAGCCAGGTGTACACCTGCGCCAGAGGGAATTAAAGAAGCATATTGCTTATTGTCAAAATGTTTGGATCTTTGGCCTCTATTTCCCCAACCAGATCAGAATTACAATCAGGACTTTATTTTTCTAGAATAGTTTTAGATCTACAGCAAAATTGAGTGGAAGATACAGATTTCCATACGCCCCTCCCCCGACTCCCATACATGCACAGCCTTCCCCATTATCAATATCCCTCATCAGAGTGTACATTTGTTACAGTTTATGAAACTCCACTGACACGTCATTATCTTCCTTCCTTTTTCATTCATTCACTCATTTATTTGATATGTATTTGATTGCCTGCTACATGCTAAGCATTATAATTCTCCCTCTATGTCTCTCAGAATCTTTTTCTTTCTCTCCTCCTCTTGCACTTTCTCTCTCCCTCTCTCTCTTTTCTAAATCTCTCCCCCTGTACCCTATTTCTTTTTAAGAAAGAAAGAATTTCCCACAAGCCTGGTATCTGGAAATAATGATATTAGCACATTTGTATATATATATATATATATATATATATATATATATATAATCCCAGGCATTTTTAAAGAATACAAGTTATTACATAGTTATTTTTTAAACTATAACTTTTTTCACTTATTCATGTATCATAAACATCTTCTCATGCCAGGAAATATGGGTCTGCATCATCAAGTTAATATGTGTGTGCTATTTCATTTTATGATATTCCTCATTTTTAACTAGTTCCCTGTTGATGAACTTGTAGACTGAGTCCAACTTTTGCCATGCTTCTGAGTAATATTGTACCTCTTCATGAATATATGTTTATGCTATCCAGAACAATGCTCAGCACCTGACAGACACTCAATAAATGTTTAGTGAATATTTCCATTTTTGTTTTCATGATGTCAGGATTAAGCTTCCTGGATGCTGGTAGCCAAAGTAATGAAAATTTTGGGGTGGCGGAGGGACGAACAAGGGAGGACCATAAAAGTTGGTGGGGCTGTTCAGGGTTAGAGCTTCTCAGACTGAGAGAGAAATGCCTTGAACTAAGGGCCCTTCTGCCATTACAGCCGTTGAGCCATTGCGTCGGGATGAAGACCCGGTGATCAGGAAGTTGGCAGACACGACCCAGAAACTTTTTAAGAAAGTGGCCTATAAACTGACCTCCTCAAATGTGAAACAAAGCTTCCGAACAGTGTTTAACTTCATCTATGTCAAAAAATTGAAGCTTCTTTATAAATATAACTGGACCAACAACCCAAGAAACAGTCCTATGGAGATTAAAGAAACAAAGGATGATAAGAAAGACCTTAAGTACAATGAAGACACTTTATGAAAGAATGAGACGTTCGCCAGTGCCCCTGAGTACAACGCAGAAGAGGAACGGTTTTCCTTTCCCTCTTGGTAACTTGGGTCTATTTGTAAATGCTTCTCTGAAGGACACTAGAAGCCATTTTACTGGTCCCTCTTCTTGTCTGCAAATATGGAAATCTGTTGTCTGTCTAGGTCTGACAGTGATTAGAAACCTTACTTCATCAAACCCACTAATAAAATTGAAAATTTACATAAGCAAAGTGTTTGATGAGGAGCTCTTGGAACTCAATTCAATCAATAAGGATCTAGGGAACACCTTGTAAGTGCCAGACACTGTGCTAGGCATTGGGGACATTTGGATAACATAGACCGTCCTTGGGAAGCTCACGCCTAGTGACACAAAATTTATTCATTGCCATCCTGCGGGGATGAATGCTGCCTAGGGCAGTTCTCACAAAGGAGGAAAGGGGACTTGGGGCAGGAGGTGGGGGAGAAAGGGGAGCAGGGAAATGCATTCCAGGTAGACACTGAGGCAAGAAGAGGGGGTGAGGGAAGGTGGACAGTTTGCTGTGGACACAAGTGGGTAAGTAAAGAAGAGTGGGGAGGGCCAGCCAAGTGGCTCAGTTGGTCAAGAGCGCGAGCTCTGAGCAACAGTGTCGCCGGTTCAATTCCCACATGGGCCAGTGAGCTGCGCCCGAGCTGAGCTGCTGCTGAGCTGCCAACAGGTGGCAGGATGGCTCAGCTGGTGAGAGCACATGCTCCTAACAACAAGGTTGCTGGCTCGACTCCCACATGGGATGGTGGGCTGCACCTCCTGTGACTAAGATTGAACACGGCACCTTGAGCTGAGCTGCCAACGGTGACCTGATGGTGACTGGACCTGGGGCTGAGTTGGCTGCGCCCTCCACAACTAAGATTGAAGGACAACAACTTGTCTGTTCCCCTTCCCCAATTCCCCAACACTGTTCCCCTCCTCCAATTCCCCCAATAAAATCTTAAAGAAGAAGAAGAAGGAGGAGAAGAAGGAGAAGAAGGAGAAAGAAGAAGAGGAAGAAGAAGAAGAAGAAGAAGAAGAGTGGGGAGACCTGGAGGAACATTATTCTGTGCTAATGGCTTTGAATGTGAAATGAAAACTGGATAGTCAGTCATAGTTAGTGGTCTCCCACTGCCATCAGGATCCAGTCTAACACTTTGTCCTGGTTTATAAGAAAATTGATATGTAAATGTTGACCTTCAGTCACCTCCCTTGACTTAAGGCTGCAGGCTAATTTTATACCCTCCTCCCACTCCTGGATTCCCACCCTAGCATATGTTATTTTAACATAGAGCACATAATATTAAAAATTGTTGGCGAGATATCAGAGACAATAAAAGGCAAGAAGAGAACACATTATCACTGAGGTAGTAACTACAGAAGGAGCTACCACCTGCAGGTTTGAAGAGACAAAGGAAAGAGACTGGGATTATTGAAACTGAGATGCTTAGAGGGCAAGGACAGAGCTGGGACCGCACGTCTGAGCAGGGTGCCAGCTGGCTGGTACTAATCTCTCTCAGGCAGCCGGAAGAAACAGGTCCTAGGACTATTGGAACCACTGTTAACAGGAACTAACGATAGCACCAGGATGGCTGCCGAGTGAACACATTTTGTTGCAGCAATGCTGACAGGAACAGGAAGTAAACAGGAAGGAGCGAGTTCCTTCTTTCCCAGGCTTCTGGTTGGCAAAGGAGAATGAGGTTTGCAGAGTCCCAAGCCCAGTAGCATAAAGCAGGGCATAAAAGAACGGGTTTGAGGTTGAGAAAAAAATAGTAATCAGCACGTATCCTTTAAACCCATCTTAACGCCACTGCCTCTGTAAAGGTTGCCTTTATTTACCCCCATATAAATGTGTGTGCTCTCTCCTCTGACTCAGTATGGTAACTTGGTTTCCTTTCGGTGTCACTTATATTTTGCCCTGTACTAGAGTTATGCCTGTGCTTGTCTTACTCTGTCCTTTGTCCACTGTCACCCTCTCCATACATGGACACAACACCTCATTTATCGCCACATCTCCTGTGACTTCTCAATAACTCATTGAATGTATTCACTGCTGACTCCCCAGTGCCTACAACTGGACCTGGCACATAGTAGGTATATGTTTTTTAATGAAGGACTAAATGAGTTAGTGAATGAATTCAACTGAATTGACTATCAGTCCCAGCAAATCAGGCTTGGGTGACACTGGGGGTGTTTGAGTATGGGAACGCCTTGGCTAAACAGCATGTCATTTGAGGAAATAAAAGAAAATGTCTTCTTTGTGGAGTGATTGACCTAATTTTAAACTCAGCTTCTCACTGCCTTGCCCCTCTCCTCCCCGTGACCATGTCAGAAGCAATATGCATGCCAAAATCCCACAGATTTAAGTCAATTCAAAACCTGAGGTTAGTTTCACATAACACAACAAATGTAGAGAATGTGTTTTGCAATCTGTACTAATGGGGAAGAAAAAGTATCGGGCATAGACTTGCCTGAAAAGATAAACATAGCATATTACATTCTTAACAAAAAGAAGAATAACCACAAGCATTCCTGTGGAAAGAGATGGAGTCAATCCCCAATCCCAGAGTACCAAAGACCCTGCAATTCCCTGGCAGATGGATTTAATCACTGTTCTATGTTACTTATAAGAAAACACTTAGAAAGGGGACATTGAGTTAAATCAACGTTTACTTATGGAGCTCATGCTGAACTCTCTGCTGGGTGTTGAGAAAGATAAAATTATCAGTACACATGGCGGTCCCTGTTGGGAAATATAAAATCTGTCCACAGAGATGAGCATGAATATTCATGAGGCAATTAGCCAACCAGCCTTAGACGTCTACAAGGTCAGGTAGTGTGGGACATAGCACTTGATCTCTGGGGACTCAGCAGCAATGTGTGTCAGTGCAAGGAAGCCTTCTTGAGGACATGTGACTTCCGTCCAGGGTCTCGGAGGCTGGTACAGATAAAACAGGAATGGAAGAGTCCCCCACCCTCAGTTCCAGAGACCTGGGCCAGGAGGAAGCATGACCACAGGCAGAGAGATGAGAAGGAATACGGTGTGCAGCGGGCATGAAGGTACCAGACACCCTACAGGCAGGGCACGTGCAGAAACATGGTGAGATCAGTAAAATAAGGCCGAGTGTGAATGCCAGTGGGAAGTGACCATCAACCCCTAAGGAGGGACACGACATAAGGGGTGGTTTAGGAAGGATCATTTCCTGAAGCTATCTGAAGTCCCTGCTTCAGAATCACAGCCCCTGAGAAAGAGAAGGAGAAAGAAACTGGCTGCAACAGGCAGAAGTGTGCCTCAGGAAGAGCTGAGTTGAGCCTAAGTTCATTTGACAGGACGGGGTCACCAAGAAGATGGGGAGTCGCTGGGGAGAAAGGACAGGGGGTCCATTCTGACCCTTCTGCCTTTCAGACTAAAGAGCTTCCCCTCCTCTTGGGGGTCATGAGGGGTCACTGCAAGGTGACATGCCATGATCTCTTGTCACTGCAGGAAAAGGAAGAGCAAATCTTTTCTGTGTCGCTGCTTCTCTCCCTGGGTAAGACGGAATCAGCGAGGCACAGGCCCCAGGGGAGCAGTGAGGAAGCCGCTCTGTGGTGACAGTGAGCATGGAGAGGTGATGGGATGACACCTGGGCATCTAGAAATCGCAATAAATCAAGGCCCCTGTCTACAGGTGTGGGGCCCCCAAGACGCCCTTTACAAGATCGGAGATGATCTGGAAAGTCTTCCCAAACCGTGACATATTCTGCAATAATCAGCCTACCAAGCATGAGCCTTCCCCCGTTGTACAATAAGATTCATAGTAAATTCTCTCGTGTCCCTTCATCCCCCAAAATGCTAGTCTGCTGCCCAGGGAAGCCAGATAACAGGCAGCCTGTTCAAGCCACTCCCACTATGTTCGGCATTCTAACTATGAACCACCTATGGAATGTGAAAAATGGAGAACTGAAGTCTATAGGTGTTTAAAACTAATTCTTACTATATAAGTGCTTTGGTTTAAACTTCGGAGGCCCCAAAGCAATGGTGGCCTCTCCCCAGTAGTTCCTTTACCCAGAAGAACAGGCCCTATCCTATTCTGGCAGACACTTCCTCAGCAGCTGCTCCTCACCTTGGGGAGCCATCGTGCCCCAAAGCAGCCCTATTGGACAGGGCCTAATATGACCCCACATTAGCGCCGTCTGATGGCTCACATCTGGCTTTCAGGAATCCCTTACACATGCTTTGGCTGACCACACTCAGGGAGCGGAGGCCAAACACAACACAGAAGCAACTCTCGTTCACAGCTAGCCAGTCCAAATCTCATCGTCTGTATTTCCCAGACCAGAGTCAGGTGGACAAAGGTCTCCGAGCCCCCTAACCTCTCTCCGAGTGGTCAGATTGAGACCCTCCTCCCAACATTTCCTGCGGCAAGTTCCGGTCCCATGTCTGATGGGAAGAGGACACACAGTACACTAACAGCTCTTTCCAAAGAGACCCACTTCAAAGATCCTCTGTCAAGCTCTACTTTCTTGACTCTCAATTACATCAGCTAAACTTCCAATGCAACCAACCAGAGGCTGCCAGCAGCCAAATTAAATCAACTTTTTGACAGTGGAGGCACCGCGGACAAGCAAGATCCTCTTAAAGCAGTTTAAATGTATTTGTGTTGTCTTTGGTTTGTATTTTCTACCTTTCAAAGGTTTCCTGAGGTTTACTCAGTAAATTAAGAGAGTTAGAATGTCAAAAGGACTTGAGCAATTATCAACTTCAATTTGCTCCTTTTAGAGAGATTAGACGTCCGGCCAAGAGTTACCACAAAATACACAACCAAAGGAATCAACCATGGAGTATGTACTATGTTACTATTAGAGAAGAATATGAATATGCTAAGGGATTCTAAGAATGCAGGATGGCTTCCACTGACTACCACATAATCTGCTGTGCTAGACATTGCCTATTGACCCTTCTCCTGTGACCCCCCCTCTTGCATGGCAAGGACTAGAAGGCTAAAAACCACATTTCTAAGACTTCCCTGCAGCTAGGGCTTGGATGCCACTAAAGCTTTTCCAACACCAACATCTGGTGTTAGAAGGCCAAGGGAAGCAGAGGCCACATTTCTGTCACTGTGTTGATCAGTTTGCATCAGCCAAACTCCAGGTCCCAATCCTTTGCAGACGTCTCTGGGGGAAGCTCTAAGGGTACTCTAGGGATGTGACTTTATAAGGCCCATGGCAGCACCCTGGTTTCTGCTCTCCAGCCTTTCCATCTATGCAGGCACCTAACTCCCTGAACTAGATCGTTTTCTTGGCGAAATGCACTGGTTTCTGCTTCCTGCATAAGTCATGAGTAACAGGCAGAGCAGTCCTAACATAAGATCTTAAAGATGGAAGGATTTTCTTTGCGGCATCAAGTCTATAATCAGTCAGCAAGTCCCCAAACTTCTACCTCCTAAGCATCTCTTATTCTCTCCCTCCATTCTCCCTTCCCCTCACTGCTCTCATTTAGGTCCTCATTGGTCTCTGATCTGAGTCCCTGTTCACTCTAGCTTCCATTGGAATCTGTTCGCTTCTGATCTTGTCCCTTCCTTCTTCAATATTCTTGAGTGGATTGCCATAACCTCCAAGGTGGCACTTCAGTGTCCTTTAGAGCCTGGGTTCTGCATGTTTAATTCATCTTCTGCTGTTCCCATGTGTAGAGGTGAATTTGTTCCATGACCTGACTGCTGCTAGACCCAGGAAAGAACAGAGACTGCTTCCTCTATACCCCCTCAGAGCCCGTCTGATCATACGTAATCCATACTTCCTCTCTGACAGAAAGCAGTTCCTCTCCCCTATGTCCCAGGGCCTGCTAGTTCCTGGACAGGCCGTTGTCCTGAGTGGGTCAAGCACGTAAAGCATTTTCCCCACATGTAGGACTAGTCACATACCCCATGTCCATCCCACCCCGTTCTATAGAATTCTTTGGTGCCTGCCTGCAGGGTGCAGCAAATCCACTTCATCCTGCAACCACGCAAGACACACTTCCTGTGCAAGTTTCCTTAATAAACCCTGTTCATTGCCAGATTAGAGTGGCCTCTGTTTTCAGGCTTTCCCTGCCCTTTGCTTATTATGTAGGTAGATTTACAGTTTGGGGGCATTTCCCTGGCTCTGTGAGCATGAACACCTTAGTTCAGCAACACTGAATTAACTGTAGCTCGCTCTGTTATGCTCTCTTACTTCTCTGGGCATTTGCACATTTTTTTTTTTTTGGCTGTCGTGTGTCCCTTGCCCATTGTCTCCCTGGCATGCGTCTATTCGTCCTTTAAGAACTCAGCTCTCTTCTCACTTCCACGTGTGAACCCTCTGTTGTTCTTCCTGAGTGCTGGCGCTCCACTGACTGACTCCCACTTGCTTGGTGACACTGGCCATCTCTCTGTCCATTAGACCGGTATGTTTCTAGATGGAAAGCACTGTGTCTGCTCATCGCGGAACCGCTAAGAAACTACCACAATGTGACGTACAACACACAACTTATGCACTCAGATAAGGGGAAAGGAGGGAGGGAGGGAGGGAGCTGTGTAGAAGCGCGATGAGCTGAAACAGGCACAGAAGGGAGCCCGAGACACATGACTTCACAATTCTGTCCTTTGAGTTCATGAGTTTTACAAATTCATCATCTCCAAGAGTTAGCTCAGATCCTCAGATCAGGCCCTCTTAAGTTTCCAGAAAATTGAGCTTTTATTTTCTTAAACTGTTGGTACAAATAAACCTTTCCTTGTAGCCCAGGTGCATAGCTTTTGTTTAGATATTCTATAGCTCCAAAGGAAAAATAAATAGAAGAACCACTGTTCCTTTAATCTCCCAGGGGTTCACCTTACAGCTCCAGGGGACATACTAGTTGCTGTTTTATTTTTTGGAACCAGGACCAGGGACCTCATTCTTGCCCTTCCCCTGTCCCTTTCTTCCTCTGCACCCCCACTCCCTCCCCCATTCTCCTATCCCTACCACACTTAGTCCTTGTCTTCCAGGTTTTACCAGGGCTCTCCACCCTAAAACGTATGAAGAAAAAGGAATTTTTACTTTAAGAATAATAATTCCTCCCACTTCCCCAATTTTTACATCAAAAGACATTAGTAAAACCCCTTCTCTCCTACATTTAGAGAACTATCAGCCGTTTCTCTTGGGAAAGGAAAGTGTTTCATTAAGAGTAGTGCCCCTTTGGGCGAGCCAAGCATCCGAAGTGTGTAGGGGTGGTTTGGCCCCGTGGGTTACATGCAGAAGGCCTGAGTTCTGGTCCTGACTCCTTTACTTGTTAGCTTTCAAACTCTGAAGAAGCAATTTCTCATCTTCTTAGAGGGACAATTGTTTTACTTGTAATTTAGAGCACGGATTGATGATTGTCAACGTCCTTCCTGCTCTAGCATTCACTGACCCTACTATTTTTGGCATCTTGAATAATCAGGAGATTTAGAATCTTACTATAGCAAAAGTGATTAAAAACATTATATATATATACATATATATATATATATATATATATATATATATATATATATA